GCGCGGCAGCCAGGGCCGGCGGAGGCGCGAGAAGCCGGCCGCCGGCGCCGCGGGGGCCATGACCGTGGAGCAGAATGTGCTGCAGCAGAGCGCGGCGCAGAAGGTGAGGCGAGCCCGCCGGCCGGCGCGGCCCCGCTCCGCTCCTCCTTCCGACGGGCGGCTTCCCCCGTCTCGGCCCGGAGCCCGGCCTCCCCGCCGCCGCTCCGGCCTCCGCCGCCCGGGGCCTCCTCCCCCGCCCCTTCCCGTCGCCTTCGGGGGCTCGTTCCCAGGGCCGAGCTGCGTGTGGGAAGCCGGGTGTAGTTAGGGGGTTTCAATCCACTTCCTTCTGGCCGATTGTTTTTCTGTAACAGACGGTGGCGGGTATTTTTTGAGAGCGACCCATACGTTCCTCCACTCCTCTATCTGGTTTCTTAAACTTTCTCCTCTGCCTTCCTTTTTTTAAAAAATAGAATAGCCGGTGGTCATCCCTTCTGAACACAGTTTGTGTTTTGAAGGTAGGAGCATTCCAGGCCTGCTGTTTGCAAATGGTCTCCACCAGAATCGAATTGCCTGCCTGGCGGGGCAGGTACATTTACCAGGTGGGCTCTGTGTATAGGTAGAGGATTTGGTTGGTTCCTTTTCCTCTTTCTGTTTCTTTTTCCTTTTTTTTTTTTTTCGTTCTTGAATATAGAGATTGGCCCTTAAGAAAGGAAACCTTTCTGGCCATGTTTATTCCAGGAATCTTTTGTCCCCTGAGTTTGACCTTGTTCCGTCGCTCACCCTTTACTCTTGACTCAGTCACGCATTCAAATGGTCACTTACCTAAGTAAAAAAAAAAATCTAGGTTTGTGAAGCTTCAAACATTTTATAGTGAGTAGTGAGAAATGCTCCTCTTATTCTAGATTTGGCTTTCAGAATCTGAAGTGCACCATCATGGCTTGCACCATATCCTGAAAAGTAGTTGGCTATGAGTTAATTTTTTTTTTTGTCATTTGTGTGAAAAGCGTTTTGGGCAAAAGAAAAACATTGCTTTAGTCGTGTTGGAATTAGGGGGGTAACTAGAGTTTATTGTGAGCAGCTACCAAGGTTGTGTTGGGTTTATCTGGGTGAGTAATGAATGCACCACCCTGTTGTAGTTATGTCCTACCTGTGCTTCGTTTTAGAATAAGGTCTGCTATCCTAAAATGGACTATGTATATACTCACAGTCTGCTAGATTTTTGCTTTGAGATTATTTTTAGAATTTGATGATAGTATTTGAGGTAATTGAAGATGCTCAAGAATTTTGGAAAGCAAGGATAGTGCATTGTTATTTTAGGCACTTTGGGAAAGTTGTCGTTGGAGCTCTTGTGTGTTAGTTAACTGTTACTGGTTAAATTTAGAAGATTATTGCAGGCTGCAGTTTATTTACAGTGAAATAATTCTGGATTTAATATTGGAAGTTTAGAACAGTTTATCTCCTAATCCCCTTTATTCTATTTTGAATACCTTAAATTTTAGTTTTTGATGTTGAGTATGTGATAAAGCGTTAATACTTAGAGCAGGATCTCGTGGTCACATGTATACTAAGCAATATTTAATAGGTTTGGTATCATTTTTGTTTCTAGTTCTCTTCAGTGTTGAATATTTAGTCAACACTGCCAATTTGTTTCCAAGTGGGAAATGTAGCTCATATTTTTCACATCTCTTAAATTTGAACAATGGCAAGAAGTTTGTGAGTTTTTTAAATTGATTTTCGTTAAAGTACTTCTGTAGCATAGAATCAGATAATGCAGATCTGCCTAGTTCAGAAGTTTATGCATAAAATTATGGGATCAAGAATCAAATTACTGACAGTAATCTTGTCCATCAAGTTTAATTTCCTAGTTTAATGAACCCCTCCTTACACAAAGGGAATAGTTGTTAATCCAGAATATTACCATTATGATGCTGTTTTTAGTGTGTGTCAGATCATTTCATTGATATTGGGGAAATTTTTTTAGAGCAATATAATGCATTTATTTTTGTATTTCCATCAAGCTGCTTATGTGTTTTTTTAAAAAAGAAACAATATGTTTGTTTGCTTTCCGTATTGACATAGTATTACTTTGTTACTCATATTGGAACTATTTAAAAAATACTTATATGGGTATAAATACTTTAAAGCCATCGACTTCAAATAAATTGATAGATTGAAGTCCACCAAGTTGGTAGCTAGAAAGTGGACTTAAGCTAGTAACTAGGAAGTGAACTTCATACTTCAGAAGAAACAAAAGTGAAACTCTGTTTTCACTTAGCAACTTTATGAATTATCAGTAAAATGAGGTAACTAGTTCATATTGCATAACCAAAATTGAGCCTATTTTCTGCTCTCCTTAAAGTGATTGTGTGTGTGTATGCATGTATATAGCATTAGTTTTATGTAAATAGCTATATTCTGGTGGTTGGAACGGATTCCTATATTTTCAGGATTCTTTTTTTTCTTCCAGAAAGATGAATCTTTCATAAAATAATATAGTAATTCTTAGTTTAAAAAAAAGCACAACGCAGAACTTTCATAGGTCTTTTTTCAACTACAAAGTAGCTTGTCACAGTATATTTTAAGGCAGGGGGCTGTCCTTTCCTCTGATGTGTTCTTTGCTTGATGCTGAAGTTTGGCCATGGCAGGGAGTTATGAGATATAGTAAAACTGCAGAGAGCTGCTTTTCTGAAGTTTAGATGCCACCGGTGAGGTGGAGTTGGGGGCAGATTAGCTGCAGTTAAATCCTGCCATAATTTGAGTCTCGAACATGCATCTTCAGCCTTTGAGCTTGATATTGACCTAAGTGTAGGATCCTTAGAGCTCAGAAATTTGATACCTAGATTCAGGTACCAAATGAGGATTCTTTAGGGCAGCAATAGAAGGCTTCCTCCCAGGGACCAAATTGATTTATAGAGTAAAGTGAGCTGGATACTATTTGCATTAAATGCATCTTTCTGAGTTGAATAAAAGATAAGGTTCATAAGGGCAGGTATTTTGCCTGTTTTGTTTCACCCTGGTTCCTTGCACATAATATGTTTGAGTAAATATTTGATGAGTGTAGTCAAGAGTGAATGTTTTCTATAAGGAGTTCAAGTGCAAGTAGTTATTTTAATTCCTTAACTGAATCTCCAATTTAACGTTATTGGGAAACAATGAAAGCTGGAAACTTCAGACAACTGTTGGAGTATAGGTAGTGTAATGAAAAGATGGTTGGATCTAAATCACTTTTCTGTGACCTCAGTCAAGTCATTAAATGTCTCTGAATCTTCCTTTAAAGCCTTACAGTTAGTAAGATTAGACATTAGCAACTTTTTTAGATCTGAGTGTTTAGTGGAGTTAAGCATGCGTTTATTCCAGATAGGGAGGATAAAAAAGAAATTGTAGAGGATGGCGGCAGAAGAAATTTTATGGATCAACAGTCAATTTTCGGTTAATTACAGTGGGGGGTTAGGTGGGAAGGATTAACCAATCACAGATTAACCAAATTAAGAGTTAAAACAAAACTTGAAAAATAATACAAACTGGATTCAGAGTAAATTTCTTAGTTAAAGCAATGTAGTATTTTCTAATTTAGGTTATCATCTAAAGTTATAAAAATAAAATAGAGCCTTTCAAGGGACAGTGTACGTTATATAAATCGCTGTAAACATTACATAAAATGGATGTTCTTCAGTACTAAATAGTTGGTTATCTTGTTATTAGCATATGACTTCCACTGGCCAGAGAGATGGGGATCCAGCTGCTTATTCCCTTCTTATTCCTTCCCTTTCTCACCTAATTTTTGATTTGTATACTAACATTGTATCCAGCTGCCTTAATGAATTCTCATCAGATCTAATAAATATTCTCTTGATTTTCTTCAATATTCTATATATACAGTCCATATTATTTGCAAATAATTATCATTCTGACCTCTTCCTTGTCAATATTCAGACCTCTTTTTTTCATTTACTATTTTATTGCTTTAGCTAAGATTACAGAATACTACTAAGATTAATGTTAGTTTCTGTATGTATTGTTTCATTATAATATGGATATTTCTCTATAGTCTTAAGTTTTTAAAATATTTTGAAATCAGATTTAGATGTTGACTCTATCAAATTTCTTTTTTTTATTGTTGTTGCAACAACTGATGTGTGTGTCAATAACAACGATTGTAATAGGTAACATTTATGGGGTAGTTACTGTGTACTATGATAAGGATTGTACTAAGAGGTTTTTAAACTTTTTTTTTCATTTAATCTTCCTAACCACCTTATTAGGTGAGCGCTGTTTTTTTTCCCCTTCATGTTGTGGTTGAGGAAACAGTATTAGAGAAGCTAAGAACTAAAGCAACATTTCATTGCTAGAATGTTGAGGGTAGGATTTAAACTCCCAAGCACCCACTCTTACCATTATGATGTATTGCGTTCTGGTAAAATCTCATTGAGTCATGATGCCTCCAAATTCAATATACTAAATTTTAATCTGGAATTTAGTATCTGTATTCTTAAGTGAGATTGGTTACATAGTTTTGTATATGGGCTTTTGTGTATATGGGCTAACAAGGTAAAGTTAACTCATAAAATCATTAGAAAGCTTTATGTGTTTTCCTTTGCTTTTGGAGTTGTTTAATGTATTATTGTGTTAAACCATTCAAAATTGAGGGTGTTCAAGCAATTTTTATCATTCAATCTAAGTACTTGTTACTTTGAAAGTTTGTTGAATATGACTAGATCAGGCAATTTAGAGCAAGTTTTGGATGAGCTGTCCAAATTGTGACTATTTTTTAGGTTTTCTGTCTCTTACAGAGTCAATTTTAAAAATGTTTTATAGATTTAGATTTTATTTCACTTAGATTTATATGTATATTGGTCTGATGTTTTCTCTTAAATCTGTGTATATGTAGATAGATCCCTTTCTCATTCCTGTTTGTTTTGTTTTGTTCTCAGTAATGTTTACCAGATGTTGATCTATTTTATTGGTCTTTCCAAAATTCAGCTCTTCGTTTCATTTATAACTTCTGTTTTGTCTTCTAATTTATTAATTGTTGCTTTTGTCTTTAGTAATTCCATCTTTCTTCTCTTTTTGATGGTTGTTGTTGCTCTTTTTATACTTATATTCAACATTTGGTGAGTTTCCAAT